GAAGAAGCAAAGAAGAATCTGAATCAATCAAAACAAAGAAAAATATAATATATGTAATATAAAGTCTTAACTTTAAACTTTAGTAAAGTAGAGAAATCCAGATATGTAATGAAACGTATGTGTTTGCAAGCCTCTAAATACACTACAGGTCATCTGTATACATGTAAATGGTCCTGTAGTCTGTACATACCTGTGTCAACATGCTCTTGTATTTAACACATACAGCTAGGGGAATTTACTCCTCATTTCATTAGCTCTTTCAAGTCTTTCATATTACTGAAAAGCATTAGAGCTGCCACTGTTGTTTGAACATATTTCTATATGATTGAGACTGCTGGTAGAACAAATATGCTCTCAGTGATGCAAATCTATGTTTTCCAGATGGATAATTGGAAGGACTCACTCCTTGTGTTTTAAAACAGTGTCTGACATGCCATATTTATTTATTTTTTAAATGGGGAGTAGAGGATATTACTTTGCATTTATTTTTATTTATTTGAAATAGCAGGAACCTACAGTTCTGACCACCAAAGAAATAAACTTCAGAGTTCAGAAACCAGCTCCAGGGTAACCTGATAACATCTACAGGAAAAAATCAGACACAGTTTCATATTGGGGCTGTGCCAAATCACGCATATTGCAAGTACACTAATTCATCATTACAGAAAAGCCCTAACTACTGGTGGAAAGAAGTGATATGACAAACCCAGAGACCAGTTAGCTCCAAAGAATTCTCTGGAGCAATGACAACTTTACCAGATGCTTTTCTATCCTCATATTTTACAACTTGGCAAAAGAAAAGCAGCTTGCTCTCATCAATTTCCATGGGGAAAGAAAAAAAAAAAAAAAAAAAAAGGAAAGAAAATAGTCCTACTGGATGGAAACAATCTCATTTGCAATGTTAAGTTCCTTCCACTAAAACAACAATTTCAGCAAAATTACCATATCAATGATTTTGACCCAGGAACTAAATTTCCACCAATAATAAACTTTTAAAATTTCAGGCCAAATACTTCTGTCCAGGCTCATTCAACTCAAGAGGTTAATGGGTTCTTCCTATTCCTCACCTGAATGCATGCTAAACAGCTTAGTTTATATTTATATGCTTATTTTAATTGTACTCTTAAAACAAAGTAGTAGGTATCTCTAAACACTGGTGACAGATAAAAAATCTTATCTGCTAATGTTGAGGAATGCCTGCTGTGGCCTGTCATAAATATGAGGACTTCAGAGAAGAAAGGTAAAACTTTTTACAAGATGATTTCTTTATCTCTCTCTCTGTATATATAGATATTGTTTCTCTACTTGTGTAGTAGCCCAACTATTTATCAAGGAAGGGGAATCAGGTCTCACAAGGCATGCTTTATTTGACTACTGTTACTGCTGTTTAGGACTTCAAAGGCATTTAACCTCCAACCCTACCTATGCCACTTAGGTTTCATGAGACATCTGCATAACAGCTGACCTGTTAAGTCACAGCTGCCTCTGGAAAGTCACAGCCATAAACTATTTGAAAAAGTAGCTTCTATATTGACTATTTATTTGAAATAGAATGACGTTACTGTTCTAACGACAATGAGGAATCTCAAAATCTTTGTATGTGAAAAGATTTAGATCTTTCGAGAGAGCAACAGTGTTCTTTTCCGCTGCATAGCTTCAAAGTAAATCTTTGCAGTTTAATAGTTCAAGGGTGCTATTTAAGCAATTTCCCTCATGTGAACAAAAAGTAGTACTCTAACTCAATTCCTGTTTTTTTCTGCAATAATATGATGTTTCATTTTAACTTAATAAAAGAAATGGTTCTCATGGGGTACAGAATTTATATACGCTGCCTGATAGCACTTAAATACAGAACATAGGATAGTATGTTGCAGATTATTAGCAGGTCTAACATAAATATAAAGAATAGTACTGTAACTACCATAGTGATATTAGTGATATTTATTTAACCAGATCTTTACCAGCTCTTTTTTGTCTTTTTCCCAATTTCAACATCCTGTCTTGATCATTGCTTGGGCCACTGACAATAGCAATATTTTACATGAAAATGAAGTGCTGTCAACTACTTTTTCTAAGTCAGTTGCTTTTCCCTCACACTGATTTCAATTAACTGGGAATTAAAAAACCTCATATGTTATCAGGAACCTCAGAATTTCCTGTTTGTTTCAAGCTAAGACTTGTGAATTCCATCTCTTAGGAGCTTTGGTTTTGTTTATTCTTTAGTCATCACTGAACATCTCATTTTTTTTCTTAGCAGTATGCACAGAGCAAAAGAAGGGGAAAACAGTAGCTGAAATCTCCAAGGAAAAAAAAGCAGTTAGAGTTGTGTCATTCTGGATACCAGAACACCCAGAAATGTTAAAAGGAGTTGTTAGATTTGCACATCTCTAATTAACTGATTGTAATGATCTGTGTGGCAGGAAGAAAGTTAAATCATAAAACCATTGTTATTTTTAAGGATTTTTACTGAGGTAGGGAAAGAGGAGTGAAAAACATTTTTAGTGGATTTCATCAAATGTTTGAAATTTACAGAATGTCTTGCACATACACCTATCTTTTCCATAAAGTACACTGTCTTGGCAATGCAACTGTAAGGTTTCCCTAGCCCAGATCACTTGTTAAGATAACTACCTTCCCCGCCTCTGCTTAGCAATTAGAAGTCAGACAACAGGAGGAAACACCTTTGTTCAGCTTGAAGATCTCTTCTAGCAAGGTTTCAGCTCTTAAGGTGCACTTCCAGAGACAATCTACTGGAGTTGCTTTGCCTGTGCTAAGGCATTTTCTTGTGGTTTCTTGTTGTACCCTTTCTGATTCTCTGTAAGTGATTCAACAGTAACAACAAAATAAACAAGCCTGGTAAATACACACCCTACAAACATACTTCTTTTCAGGCTGGAGATACTGGTAGACCTGCTGTGAATGTTGAGAAGAACTCATAACTTCAGTTCTGTGGGGAAAATGGAAATTAATGAAAAAGATTTTTATTTATTTCTTTCTTCCTCATTTTAGGAAAAGACTTAAAAATCTAATAATTAAATAATTGCCAGAAAACTCATAAAGCAGCAGATTGAAGGTCTGGCTAAGGCACTTAGCTGCTTACTAAAAAAAAGCACGTACTTGATACACAGCTGAAGTATATGGTAGACACCCTTTAACACATTTCAACAGAGCATGCATTCTTCAGACACAGCATTTCTTGGAGCTGCTAGCTTTCCATGCTAAACTTAGTGCTTCCAGTAATTTCAAGACTTTACCAAACCCATAACTCTAGTCCTCAAAAAAAGGAAGACAAAACTTTGCCCTGAATGGAACTGGCAGAGGTGACAAGTGCTTCAGTACCTTGCTCCACATTCCCTTGTGCTAGACAGGCATCACCCCAATATTATACACACAGCAGTGTGGGGAGCCCTGCTGAGGCCAACCACCCAAGCACCAGACTCAGCTCAGCCCTACAAATGCAGTTCTGCCCTTTTTAATATACATCTTCTTCCCTGTGTAATAATAGGTACCATCATTCAGTTTTATTTTAATCTAAAAAGCCTTTCTAGTGATTCAGGAGACTAACCCACACTATTACACCACCTCACCAGAGGCTGGTTTCCCTCCTATTGAAGTCAATAGCAAAATTCTTATAATGAAAAGAGAAACTGACTGCAGATGAACATTAACCATATCCTTTCACCATTTTTCTCTGCCTAATGGAGTATATTAAAGCTTCTCTACATAACTTCTGAATAATACTGTATGCAATTTCATTATTGAAGTTTCACTTAATTTAATTCTGCTTTGAGGTTTCTGGTTAAAAATAAAATATGATTAATGCTTACAAAAGAGAATGAGAAAACTGGGTGTGAGGGAAGTTAAGAATTCTGATAATGGCCACAGTTTCTGGGTAAATTGCTTCAGTAATTTTCATAGTAAAATACACTAATGTTACCCTTGCTTATTGCAGCTCCCTACCCTATAAAGTCAGTATTCTTCCCAGTGATTCTTTTTTAAATTGATTACTGTGGCATTTGGTTGCTTAATCTAACATACTGACAAAACCATATTTTTCCCTGAAGGTCATTAATGATTGTATACAACTGAAAGAATGCGAACACCTCATTGTAGGCATATATCTTTCCCAGAACATGAATGAATTTCGGTTTTGAAGCACAGAGAATTATTGGATCTCTCTCTATCTGTTAGATCTGAGCTTTCAAGAGAAGAAAGAAGAGGCAAGACTACTGTGAAGCACTTCAAATCCAGTCTTAAGATATTTTAAGGATGCCAAACATTTAATGACACTATTAGAATATGTTTCCAACAGTGATTTGAAAAATCTACTTATGCTGTTTTGGATATTTTGATATGAGATCTAGTCTGTGTTTCCAAAAGCTGAGTTTTATGAACTCCTGATCTTCTTCTTGGACCATAAAGGCTCCAAGAAGAGAAGTCTTTCAATCAGTGTAAACCTATTAGGATAATAAAAGATTCATTATGGAAAGAAATTTGATCAAATAGGGGTAAAAGTCAGAGGCTGAAGCTTTCTTATGCCATTCATGCCCTACCTTTTCAACATTTGGATTTAGCTGGATTTTTTTTTCCTCATAAGATGCACATGCTTTTAGAGCCTATCTACCTATTGCAGTAAAGTATTATATCTTGTATATAATAATATAGTATATGTGATAAAATATGACAAGCACAGTAGATGTAGCATGATAAAGTAGAAAAATTAACTGTTAATCAAACAGAAGTGTCTTGGCTACATACCAAGCTATCATCTTTATTAATTATTATTAATAATTATTGTTATTATACAAGATCCATAATACCTTTCCCAGTAGTGTTACCTACATAGTACTTGAGTATAATGAAGCAATTTGGAATTTACAAAGAGTGGGGTCACCCTACAATTAAGGATGCAGATGATCACATTTTCCAATGGGTTTTGTTAAATCACACTTGGCCAAGACATTAAAGGCAATTATGGCATTAAGCTCTTATGGGTTTAAAAGAGGATCATTTTAGATAAATAAATGTACATTATAACAGATGCTTTTTAAAAACTAAAACTCATGCCACAGATGATCTTAAACAAAATTTCTGAATTCCAAATATCAAGAGAAATTTGAATCTGCCTGCTAAGTTCCTAAACTTCACGGATAAATTTAAACTAATCCTTATTAACTAGAGAGAACCAAACAAATGTGGCCCCTTTCCTAAGAATTATGTGAGCCAGCCCCTGATCCAGAAAATAATCACCTTTGAGCATAATAAGTATTTATATTGAAGTCAACAGAAATTCTCATAAAAGTAAAATATTAACTTAAGCATGTGTTTAGGTCTTGTGAATAATTTGATCTTTATTTTTTTTATTTGAAACTGATCTTGAATATAAAAAGCCATAATGATAAATTATTAAAAAGAAGTCAGCAAATAACTTACTTTACTTGCTGCAGCTGCAGGTTAAGAAATCCGATCTGAATCTGTTACTACTCTTAGACAATAGGGAAATTCAGAGTAATATCTTAGTTGTGACTAGTGGGGCCAGGTGTCCTATTATTGTGCTTTGCTAAATCTCCGCAGCTATAAAGTGAATCTACTTTTTATGGTCATGAATAAAATGTAAATATTATTATTAATGATAGAAGTATATAAGATTCTCAAATAATAATGTAGAGATACTAAAAAAAAAAGTGTGCACAAAAAAGGCAAAACTCTCATATACACTGGATTAATCTCCTTCCCACTCAATACAGGCTTTTATTTTTCAACTGAAATAGGTATGCTCCCAAGTAAGAAATTTTTCTCTCTGAAATGAAAAGGAAATGGTGAAAAAAGGAAGACCTGATGAAAACACCTACTCCTAATCATAAAGATTTTGGGTTAGCATACAGGATGGTTAGCAAACGGAAAATCATTTCATTTAAAAATACTGTTTCTGGAGTAGCAAACTGAACTTTTTTTTTTATGAAGAGCACAAACATCATTTTAAATGTTATCACTGAGTCTCACCAGTGCAAGACAGGCCTTTCAGTTAGTTATCACCCTAAAAATTGAAGGATGTGATAGAGACAATTATGAAATCTTATAAATTCCTATAAGAATTGAGCTATTCAGTAAATAAGTTACAATCACAGTGACAATACTGCAGCTAGCTACAAGCAGAGTCTCTGGAAAAGAGTTTAAACACTCCTGAGAAGAGAGGAATGTGGAACTAGTTATATACTCCCTCCCTCAGCTTGAAAGATATGCTGCAACATATTGCAAAATGCCAAAGTACATGTTGCTTACCCAGGCACTGATGAGAGCAGGAAGGATGGATTAGAGCCATTACCAGTCCTTCACTTTTTAAAAAGTCATGTCTTCCAATAGAGAACTAAGGTAGTTATAGACATCACTGTTAAACGTAACTTCTGTACTATTTGTTTCTCTCTAAAAAAAAAATACTAATAATAAAAAAATCCAAATCAGCAAGAAAAGTTACATTCAGTAATTCAGTAATTTAACTTTTCTCTAAATATTGCAAATAGTCTGTAATCATAATTCTCACTTAAGTGAGATGCTAATGAAAAATACTTGGATCAAAATGTTTAAGAATAAAATGAAGAATAATGGTATAAATTTTACAGGCGTTGAGAGAGAGTAGGCATTGCTTTCCATTTACAAAGCTCAATACACTAAAAAAAAAAAAAAAAGAAAGGAAAATAAAAGCATACTGCCTGTCTGTCCATCAAAGTTTATTTAAACTCTTGATATTTAGGTAAATTTTCAGGTTGTCGTTTAACACAGAATGTGTTTCTTGTGTTTATCATCAGCCAAGGACAAGATTCTGAAGCAGTCTGAAGAATTCAATAAGAACTACAAAGTGTAAAGCGGGATTTAGTTTATGTGGTATATGTGATCAAGTCCTGAATGCTCTGTAGAACTATTTTCTTCCCCTCCAGTCTTCAGTCGATGTAATGGGTACTGGACGCAAATCTTAGACCTTCAAATAAGACTTGGATTTAGAAACTATATGTGAAAAAAAACAGAATGGGAGCTATTAGTGTAGTTAGATTTCAGCAGTCATCTCTAGCAACTAAAAGAATAATTTTCATTAGTCTTCTTACCCTATTGCACGAAACAACAGGTGAAAGACTTCTTCCCACTAACTGAGGCAGAATATAGCCCTATTAGTAACTGATGTGCTATAGCAAAATGTGAATCAACCTCTGTCTTTCTCACATTAGCTTCCCTTTCTCTATTGGTAAGTACAAACACCTCATGTACTCTCAGAAACATCTGTTCATCCTCTAATGAGGAAGGAGGCAACACTAATTTTATAGGCACAATTCCATTAAAAATTTGATCTGTTTTCCAACCCACACCCTTGTAGTACATTACCAATCCTTCTCTTACAGTTTGCACTTACAATACTAAAAATACCACCCACTAGCTTCTGGATTAGCCTGCTTACAAAGTTCCTTGACTGTACTTCTTAAAAAAAAAATAAATAAAAAGACATTTGGAGTTGAGAAAGTTGAGAAAGCAAGGATTCTCATTGGAGATAAACTTTCTTCTTGCTTTTGGGTTGCTACCAGGAAATCTGCAAGCCTCTTGATACCAGACCTACCTTCCCCTTTTCCTCCTTTTTTAATATTATTGTCTCTTTTTTAATTATAGTGGCACCAAGAGACCCCAAATGCAATCAATGACTCATTCTGCCAGTCTCTGTGAAGACATATGGTATGAGACAGTCTTTGCCCTGAAGAGCTTACAGTTTAAATAGGCAAGACAATAATGAGACACATTAGCATTGTTATCATCATCTCCCAGGTGGGACATTGAGTCACAAAGATGAAAAGCAACATGTTCAAAATCACATGTCTACACCATACGGTGAAGGATGCTTTGGTCCTCTGAGTTAACAAATGTTTAAGCTGATAAATTGACACTGTGGAAAGGAATGCTGACTTTGGGTTCAGAATGTCTACAGACTGAAACTGCACCACCATGGCCAAGACAACAAACCCTGAAAGGAAGCATTGCATTAAGTGCTTTTATGGTACAACCAAGTCAGACCACCACACTTTAATTTCTGTTCAGATTGGGAGAGAGTGGACTCATTGCAAAGGTGCCCATGAAAAGTCCATAATGCAGAAATGCAGATTCTTCAACACATGATCAAAAAAGTTTCTTTAAAGCCCATCTTCCTTTCTTTACTCAGGCCTTTTATCCCCCAAAATGAGAAGTTGGTCATGCTTACAGATTTACTTTCTTGGCAATTCTGTTGAGCTGGACTCCAAAGCATGGGTAGAAAATCCTCATGTTTTCACAGCAGTAAAGATCTGAAAATGAAGCCAAGGGGTACATGGTACATCAGTTTTCTAGTGTAAATTTGGGAAAACTGTTTAAAATGAATTGTATTGGAAATACACAAAAAATAATACAGTAAGCTAAAGAGCAAGATATGACAGGATATAGTTTTAGTTCCTCTGAAGAAAAAAAAGTTTCTGAAATGAATTTATTTCAAAAATGTTACACCAGAAATTAGAGATTTAATTTCTCTTTTTGAATTGAAGTTACACAAAGTAGATATTTAAATGAATATTCAGTGTTATTCATAAGTTTAGACAATGAACTCAGTATCCTGAACCACTGAATACTGAGTTATGTTATTTATATTAGCCTCTTTGGGAAAATCTATCATATTTTTATTTCATCTGTTAATAACATACAATTTTATTTCTTTTATCAAGAGATTTATCAAGAGTTCTGAGCTTAGCACAAATTTAAATATTTTTTTCAAATCTAGTGAGACAATATAATTTGCCACAGTCTACTTATACATGTCTTCTTTTTCCTGATAACCTATCAGCCTGTAAGCTATCTAGCAAACTTTTGTTATCATTTGTAATATTTTTCATTATAATTCTGAAGAACAAGAATATTTTCATAAAATCTTTAGGAGTTATGAAATAGGTTCCACCCCTCCCCATCCCCTCAAAATTGCACTTACTGTGCCACTTTTATTATGCTTAATGTTTTTCATTTTCAGTTACATATTCTGTATTTTTTTCTTATTAAAAAAAAAATGAAGAAACTGTAGAGCGTATAGGCTACTGCTTGTATTATCAAACAAGTAGAGTGAAGATCCTATAGTATTACTTGCAATTTATCTTCAATTTCTCTCTCCATTCAACATTTTCATGAGAAAATTTTACCTTCCAAGATGGTAAAGATAATACTTTCTTTTTTTAAATCTATTTATTTCTCAAGCACATGTGCAAAGTTTTCACATATTCAAAGATCTCTTACGTAAAGCAAAATTCTGTACAGCTAGTCTTCAAAAGGAAAATAGAATAAGCAAAAGTTTCTTTGAAGGCTTAGTTTTCCTGCCAAAGCAAAACAAAGGATTTAAAAAGAGATCTCCTGGACAAGGTCCATGCCATACCATACAAGTTAATTGTAAAGTCATCTATATTCATCGTAACAACAATTATTTTTCAACACTGCCCTTCTGTGTTACGACTTTTGGTAGCACCTCTTGATGGTATAAAATGAAAGTTAATTTGAAGTATTTCATATTAAATTTGTTACCTGTTATACCTCATCTATAAAATCATTAATTTCCATAATTAAAAAGAGTACCACTGTCTAACATAAAGACTTCCTTGCATATCACTTAGTTACTTGAAGCAGTAGCTAAGTGTTAGCTCATTAATGAATAAAAGTTTGTGTGGGATTGAAGATGATACCCTCTTTTCCAGATATGAAGTTTAAAGGAAAAATATTTGATTTCTAATCCAAGCACACTGAAATGAACATAAAAAATAGTCAATTTTGTTTGCTAAGCTTTATTGTATCTACTGATCTAGTAAATCTGCAGATTGCGCAGAATGGCTACAACTTCCAGAGTTCACTTATCACATATATGTATACTCAGTGATCTACTGAAAGGTTATGTAGGAACATACAAGAGAATATGGGTGCTCTGAATCAATTAAAATTGGCCTGAGAAGTGTTGTTCATACTAATCAGTTGTGATAAAGACTTCTCTCACATAAGAAATTTTCCCATGCCCTTTTATTAAGACTTTTACATTCATTGGGTATTCGCATTATCTCCAGAATCATTTGCATATCTATCTAATATTTAAGGAGGTATACGATGGCCTCTAGTGGTGCATACCAGCATAAAAATGCTCTACTGCTGTTTTATTTCCTCAGTTTTAAAGACAATATATAAGAAAAGCAAACACACATTTGAATTGTATCTTCTGAATTAGAAAAACAGCAGAATATAGCACACAGCAAAGAATGTGAATACTTCATCAGTTTTTATTTACAAACAGGCAAACCAAGAAATGTGAAATAAACTTTGAGCCAACATTACTATATTAAAATAATTTCAAAAATGTTCCATATCTTTACCATTTCACTGTTTTCTCTCCAGGCTTTTGATCACTCTACACAGTTTAGCTTTAGCCTGTTAATACTGTCAATCACTAGTTCATTGGGGAAACTGCAGATACTGAAGGAGATAAACTCTATCTACAATTTTCCATGGAGAAGGGCCTTACAGACTAGATATTCTTTAGCCTGAATTAATCCTTCATGTCAAAAAGACTATCGCCATTGTATTAGTGTAATATTGTAAGAGAAAGACAGTTCATTGTAAATGAATTTCTAACAATAAAGACACTAAAATAAAGTTTTACCATATTTACTAATTTTGAATCATCATCAAATGGCTCAAGTTGGAAGGGGCCTGAAAAATCATTTAGTTCCAAATCCCTTGCCATAGACAGGCATGCCACCCTCTAGAGCAGGTTGCTCAGGGCCTTATCTAACCTCGTCTTGAACACCTCCACGGAGGTTTTTTCAATTTCCCATTATTATATAACTCATAGAACTGTAAGAGACGTCACACAGTTAATAGGGGATACTGTAATTTTAGAAAGTACAAATAGATAAGCAATTAAACAATGCCTTCTTTAGCAGGTTGAATATTGAACAGCTCTTCGTATATTTCCTCTTAAATCTATTTAATTTGATATTTTTATTTCTTTGTGGACAAAGATTTTGTTTTGTTTTCAAAATTTGCTTAGAAAAATGTCTACACTAATAGGTTGTAATATTTAGCAGTAATTTCAGCCTGAAGAGTTTTGTGTGTTTCTGGAATCAGTTTTATGAGAACTGACAGATATAAGTTTCATTTTAAGCAACTATATATATATAAAGCTTATATATATATTTCATATATGTATCTATATATATTTCAATCAAAGCAATTCACACTCTTCTGTGAAGTTTCTATATTATATTTTTAAGTGTGTTGACTAACAAGCTTGTAAAAATTTCTATTCAACAGGAGATGAATTTAAAGGAACTTGAAAGAAAGAGCTAGTGAACTCAGTCAGGATCCTCCATAGCTTTGCTTCAAATAAGTTTTCAGAAGTCACAAGATACATAATTGTCTTAACTCATTCCCAAGGGGGGGAAAAAAAGAAAGAAAAAAAGAGCTAAAAGGGTACAATAAGGCTATTCAAAGGAGTTTCTGAATATATCTTCCTGCCAACCTTATGCAACCGCACCTTCCCCATCAGAGGCTATCTGCAGATTTAGTCCACATATTCTGTGGACACAAAGTTAGAAGGAGAAGGATGTTACAAGGACTAATTTTATTCCTTGTTCTGAAAGTCATTGCATACGTACATGTATTACAACCTGTTATAGAAGACTAACTTTGTCCAAACCTTTTCCCATGATTTCCACATTTTTGTGAGGAAGGTTGTTCAGGTGAAATCAGTGTTATTTTCACAGAACAGTGTTTCAAAACCTGAGAAATGCAAATGTTGAGACATACCTTGTGAGGTACATAGACAGTAAGAAAACTTTTTCACATTAGAATGGAGTAGAAAACTATAAGCAAGGAAATGCTTATTGTCCTAATCACAGGACAGTTAACTAATCAGACCTTTCCTTAGCTTCTTTTAAGTGCAAACGTAGGAGCTGCAAGGTTTTCCTAAACATTTCTGATTTTTTAAGTGTACAATCGTTTCCATCTGTACCTTATTCCTTGCAATTCACATTTCCCATGGCCTTATGAGTTTTCACTATCTATATGCATCTTACTGCTTCTAGAGTTATATACAGCTACTTCTGCTACACAGTCTTCCTCTAAGCACTTCTAAGCACTGCATCCCATCACAGGGTTAGTGAACCATGTTTTCCCCGAGCCAAAGTGAGTCTACTATGTGAAAATGAAGAAAGCCATCCTTTCACAAGGGGATTTTCTCTCCCACACTCTTTCCTCCTTTGCCTTCCCCCCTGCCTCACAGCTCTACTTTCCATCTCTCCCTTCTTGGGATCTGGATGCCCAACACTATGTGAAATATTAACTAGATAATGATTTTTATTTCCCTTGCAGGAGATCAGAGGAGCTGCTAAGAAAACCACTGCTATGAAACAGAATGCAGAGAGCGCCGTCATCTGAGGAGCAGTCACCATCCGCTTCCTGTGCGGCAGTGATGTTAATGTACAATGCTATATCTTAATAGCCATCTCAATTGGCTATTAAAATGCTGCACTGCACATTAAAATCACTACCCCACTGCTGCAGGAGTACTTACCAAAGATGCAGTCCCTGAAAATTACCTCTCAGCTCAATGGAATGCTGCCATGCCAAATGAGCTGTCTCAGCTCCTCTAATTTTCTGCTAAAGAAATAAAACTCTTCCTTTTAAATTTTAAATTTACATGATTATGCTGAATGGCATATTCAGCCACAACAACACAGAAGTAGCACAAGTGTACTGCATGCAGTGCCTCAGAAGTCAATAGCAGAAGTACCCCGGACTTCCTCAAGAAATTTATACCAACTTCCAGAGGAGTTACTATTCTCAGTTTCTTTAAATAATGCCTTTTAAGAGCACCTATTTGCAGGTATTGGCAGGAGATATCAGGAAAAAAGTAATAAGAGTTTGTTTCTGGAATCTTACAGGTATAAGCAAGTGAATTCTGAAAAAGGGGGATAACAGATGATGAAAACTACAGGATGAACACAGGGGTGTGAATAGACTGCAGTCAAAAAGAGGGAGTGGAGAGGCTAGTAGGCTATGCAATAGAGAGAGGACGAGGCTTAGCACAGAATTGAGCCTTTTGATCCTGAGAGATGGTTTATAAGCAATTTTGTCTCATCTTCCTGAGTACACAGATTCAGTTGGGAACAAGGAAAGACACAGAGGTAAATGTAAAAGACAGAGTGATGTGGTAAGCTCATGTTGTCTCCTCCCTGAGTCATAGCAGATGATCAAAAGTTAAGTCAAACTGATACGTGGAATACAG